CCAAAAGCCAATTGGCAAGAGCTCAACAAGCGCGAGCTGCAGAACCCCCACACAAGGACTAGTTTGATGGAGCACTGCATGGAATGCAGACAACACTCCAAAGTACAGAAGAGTTGGCAAAACATGCCAACCCCCAGGCACCTGCATGTATCTTTCGGCGCACATGAGAATGCGAGTTGGGAAGGGAAAAGAATTGCGGCCAGTGCTTTGCCATATTCTATGTGCGAGTGATTTTTCCCCATATTCTATGTCTCTTTTTTCTTCCAAAACCACTATCTGAGCGTATTCTATTTGCAAGTAAATGTTTTTTTGTACTCTACCTGCTAGAAGTTCACTATACAATGGAAAAAAGGAATGTTGATCAGGCACCACATACACTGCATATTACTCGGAATGTAGCGGATGTTAATGTTTGCCTCCTGTCAATCAGTCATTGTCCTCCTAGGTATGCTTACAACAACATGTACGGCGACTCTTGGGAGATTCACCGTCGACGACGTGTCGGAGACTTCCGAAGTCAGAGTTTTTGTGTTGTGACAGCTCCTGGAGACCGCAACGGTGCATTCATGGCATGTGAGCAGTGCTATCGAATCTATGGCCGCAACCTTAGTGCCTGCGTATGGACATTCCAAGAACAAAGAAGCTGACATTGTATCTCCTGGTTCATCAACCCATCAGTTTTCAACCATATTTTTTCCAAGGCTTTTCCCAGTGCCCATCTGCCGATTCTTGCCAAACATCCGGTGGTTGCCGATACACAACACCACAAAGCTTTAATCGACACTTGGACACGCCATTTCGACTGGACCGTGCATGATTCTTTTGGTCCATTGGTACTGGGAGAGTTGATTTGTCGGCAGATTCTATGATTTTCGGGACTGCAGCTGTACCTTTATGTATCTTTGGGACGATGGGACCGCTTTGGGTTGGTTGGGAATTGTGGGCGCCGTCCAATGAGCCAAGGAGATGAGCTTGCGGAGACTGGCTTCATTCCCAAGGCCACCACAGTCGCAAGCGGAGTTGCGACAGCATCAACCTTAATTTAAAACAATCCTGACAAGCCAACAACCCAGCAGTGCTCAGCACAGCTATCTTGAAAGCATGAGGCTCGTTGAGATTATGATTATATAGATTAGAAAGCAGGATTTAGGAACCTGCTGTTTCTTAGACATGTGTCACGTGTTAGGTTAGTGTTATTGAAAAATATTATATATTATATAATGATATATCATGATATATGCTGGAATTCCCCAGTGGTGGAGATTGGAAGGACCACTTGACAAAATGATTGTTGCGTTTCACAGGACGCAGCAGTTCTTCACAGTTGTCCCTGACAGTGTCGGCGAATGATTGTTTGACAGGCCTACACGCCTCCTTTGCGAGTGAGCTTCACCAGCATCACTGGACCAGGACCACAAATGACAAGTGTAGTCAAGGCAGTCAGAGCTAGGATGAGCCAGGCAATGTCCTCAAAAACACGCCCCCACACAGCCGTGTGTTTTCTGTTTGTTGGTCTTGAACAAGGTCATTTGAGGCCACGGACGACGAAACGTTGTGTCCACGAGTTTCAAAAAAGGAAGCCACTGTTTTCAAAAGCGAAGCGTGCTTGCATGTGGTATCATCTAGGATCATCTCAGCATATCCAACACTATAATTACCAGCGACGAGTGCAGGAATTCCTAGCACAAGGGGATTCCGGTCCAAGTACAAAGAAGAAAGAGAGGTTGCCCTGATTCAACATATAACAAAATGCTGTTATTTAAAGTCACAGGCGACAACTTTCACGCCTCTTGCAACTACTATCGCCGTCGTCGACCCGCTAGCATTGAAATGCATTTCCCCGCAGTGGCCCTGCGGAAAGCAGAACACATTGCTAAAAAACGACGAAAGCGTACGGCGGTGAGGGTGCGTGACACCGAAACACATGGAAAGGAAATACCTTGCTTTATGTGACATGCTTTTACTGTGACGAATGAGTACAGTCTTCCAGAGGCTGCATGTATTTGCATGGAATAGGATTGAATATGATTTGCACTTTGCAGGTTCGCAAACTAAACTCCAACTGTGCTGCGTCAAATGCACTTTTCAGGAATAGACACGGAGTCTATTTGCCCTCCTACGACAAAGGCAAGGTGAAGTCGGGAGACAGACAGACAGTTTTCTCAATCATGTTCGGCTCCGTGTTCTTTTTGCGGGGCCTAGGCCTGGGACTCATCACAACATATATTATGCAAAACTTGACGTGTCCATATGGTCGGGCCGCTGCTGGCAAGGAAGAAGTCGAGTTGGCCGAGCGGTTCAATCGCACAATGTCCTTCAAACCGGAGCTGTTCTTGGTGTCCTGGCACCAGCTGACGGCTTTCCCACAGCCCTCAGCTGAGGAAAAGGCTCAGAAACACTCATTTATGACTAGCATACTGTATGCTAGTGTAGTGATGTGTAGTGATAGTGGCAACTTAAGAAGGACCTATTGTAGCCACCACCGCCTACAACAAACAACTGTCGCTGCTGGTCATGCTGCAAAATTGGAAACCCCCAACTCCCAGCTCCCTGAAGGTTTGGAAAGGTAGTAAGGAGTGGGACTGCATTTCAATGTCCAATGTCACTTTTTCTTGGCCTTCTTCAGTCCAGAACTCGTGGCGAGTCGTATGGAACAATCAATACCGAACCCCCCAACTGGTGTCAGCACACTCACAGAGTCTGAAAGGAATGAAGGAATGGTTTCAATTTGATGCTTTGATTGCTGTTTTGAAGCAGGGTAACAGTTCCAGGTTTGGATTGCCAAAACGCCTGCAGTGGAGGGACATAATCATGCAGGCTTTGTTAAGCCTTGTTGGAAAAGGCACCCCCTTTGGCCCTTTGGCATTTGATGTCGTAAGGTGCTGTCTAAGCAAGATGTTTTGGCCTCAACATCAAGCTGCCAAGCAAGCACCGGAGTCAGTTGCACAGCCAATCAATGCAACATTAGAAACTCTTTGTGCCTGAGCGGCACTTGTTTATGTGAGAGCGGATGCTTGGCCAAGTCAGTGGGGTGGATCGACGGCAGAGAGAAGTCTGAACAAGAAAGGGATGCGTGCTTTGGGGGTGCAGACAGATGATCCTGGCGATCCTGCATTTCACAATTATTGCACATATTGTCATATTATATAATGATTGTGAGTTCATTGTTTGTCCCTGGGTTTGGCTTAATGCCAATGGACAGTCCACCTATTCATGTTTGTTGACAGGGAGGATCAATATCTCAATTTCCTAACCCTTTCTTGCAAGATCCGGGACGACGGTTGAAGCATTTTTTCCCGAATGCGTAGCGAAGGGTTCCCGTTTATAGTTGGGGGTCTGGGGGTTGGAGCTGTGTTTGCATGGCTTGCGTCGTCTCGTCGTCTCTCGTCGTTTGTCGTCGTCGTTGCGTCTCAAATTCGCTGCCATTGGGGGAAGCTTTTGCAAGTGACTTTGCATGGATGTGTCACGTGTCAGTTTGCGCCGCTATTCCATTGTGATTTGCATGACAATGACATGTCGTGCAAGAAACGTGATGCGTTTCGCTGCACAGGCGCAGCGTTTGGTGAGATCCGCAGATTGCTGCGCAGTTCCATTGGGAATAGCGTGTGGAGAGTCGTGTTTTTGGGGTGTTGGATGTGGCCGTGCCATTGGGATTTGCGTTTCAGGGTGTGGCATCGAAGCTCGGTTTTCGTGACACGTCTCAGCTGAAATGGCGAGTTTGGTGGGTGGGAGTGTGCTCAGAACGGGTCGAAATCATTCCAAACGTGTGGTGTGGTGCAAATTTTGTTGAAGCTCACATGAGACGATATTGTCACTTTTCGTGGCAGGCGCAGGACTTTGTGCGGGTTTTGAGGCGTGGAAGTGCGATTCTCGTGGCAGGCGCAGGGAATCGTGAGGTTGCGAGGTGTGACGGAGGTGACATTTCGTGGCAGGCGCAGTACTTTGTGCGCGTTAGACGTGTGGACGCGGAAAGATTCGTGGCAGGCGCAGGGAATCGTGAGGTTGTGAGTTGTGGTAGAGGTGAATGTCGCTGTCACATTGGGATTGGCGTGTGAGCGGATGTTGCTTGGAGGGGCTGGAATCGCAAAACTGCTTGGCAGGGCTGCGTGATGTGTGTGCTCCGATGGGTGTTTCCGCTTGACTTGTGAAGAAAGTCTCGTACGAAACGCTCGTTTTGCAGACTTTGACGTGTGAGTTTTTGAGGAAGTCTCGTGCGAAACGCTCGTTTGGAGACTTGACGCGCAACCCTCTGCGGAGATCGTGCATGTCGAGTGCGACATGCAGGCGAGAGCGCGATTTGTCCCATGCGCGCGCAACCCTCTGCGGAGATCGTGCGTGTCGAGCGCGAGATCTGCGGAGATCAACCTACAAGAGTGACCCACAAGAGTTTCCTACAAGAGTGTCCCACAAGAGTGTCCCACAAGAGTGACCCACAAGAGTTTCCTACCAGAGTGTCCCACAAGAGTGTCCTACAAGAGTGTCCCACAAGAGTGTCCCATAAGAGTGTCCCACAAGAGTGTCCTACAAGAGTGTCCCACAAGAGTTTCCTACAAGAGTGTCCCAAATGACCCACAAGAGTGTCCTACAAGAGTGTCTCACAAGAGTGTCCCAGTAGGCAGATATCCATCACAGGCTGGAGCAAGCACATTACCCCTTCAAGAGCGTCATATACGTAGTTGATGTATGTTGATGTCAATGAGTCAATTTCTTTGCACTTTGCTGGCTGGCCTTGCCCTGAAGCACCAGGTGTGTGTGCCCAACATAAGTATCTATATATGTTTCTATGTATATAATCCATATATATATATTTTTATAGAGAGACTTATATATATATATATTAAGAGAGCGGGGGGTGAGGGGGATGTGAAAGTTTTGATTTTGCAAGGTTTTGAAGGGTTCTACATGGATTCGCAGAGTAAAGGGCAATTTGATATGATAACAACAGTATACAGCAAAGCAAACCATGCAAAAACATCGAAAATAAACAACAAAACTGCAGACCCCATTGGGGCTCTTGTCTGACTCTGTGGACATGTGGTCTGCAGTGTTGTTTTTTTTGATTTTCGAGGTTCTGGCCATCTGGAGCAAGCCATGCAAAAACCTCGAAAATAAAAAACAAAAAACAAAAGTGCAAGACCCGCTTGGGGCTCTTGTCTGACTCTGTGGACATGTGGTCTGCAGTTTTGTTTTTTGTTTTTCGAGGTTCTGGCCATCTGGAGCAGACCATGCAAAAACCTCGAAAATAAAAAAACAAAAAAAACAAAACTGCAAGACCCCATTGGGGCTCTTGTCTGACTCTGTGGACATGTGGTCTGCAGTTTGTTTTTTTTGTTTTTCGAGGTTCTGGCCATCTGGAGCAAGCCATGCAAAAACCTCGAAAACCCCAAAAAAACACAACTGCAGACCCCATTGGGGCTCTTGTCTGACTCTGTGGACATGTGGTCTGCAGTTTTGTTTTTTATTTTTCGAGGTTCTGGCCACCTGGAGCAAACCATGCAAAAACCTCGAAAAAACAAAAAAACAAAACTGCAGACCCCATTGGGGCTCTTGTCTGACTCTGTGGACATGTGGTCTGCAGTTTTGGTTGTCTCCTGTTTAGCCTTTCCTGGGTCCCTCTCCATGGGTCTGATTTTTTGTCTTTTCGCTGGTCTACCCATGTCTCCTGTCTAGCCTCTCCTGGGTCCCCCTCCATGAGTCTGAACTTGTTGGACCTATGTCTACTGTCCAATCTCTCCTGGGCCCCTCTCCATGGGTATGATTCTTTTTGGCTGGTCTGCAAAAAAGAAATAAGCACTATTTCTTATTCATTTCTAAATAGGTATTAACGCAATTCTAAATTTAATTCTATGAATTTTGACTTAAATACAATTGAACTAAATTCTAAATCAATATTTATTCTAATTGAATTTGTTTCATTTCTATTTTTATTGATAAATTTGTTTTGAATATGTAATAGACTTCTATTTTACTTCTAAATTGAATCTAATTAAATTCTAAATTAAGTTTATGTATTGTTAAAATTCATTATATTCAAATTACAATTCAATTTTATTCTAATTTAATTTTGTTGTAATTGTAATTATCTTTGGTTATTCTGGATCTAATATTAAAGTCCAAATTGAATTCATATGTGAATTTGCAATATATTTCCAATTTAATTCTAAATTGAATATATGTGCCTTCTATTTATTGGAATTCAAATTGAATTTGCAATTTTAATTAAATTGAATTCTTTATAACCTAATTTTATATCAATATTGCAATATTGTTCTATTATTTAATTCCTAGGTTAAATATTTTTAATTCAATTCTACCTTAGGTCTAGGTCAATTTCAATTTGAATAATGGATTTTTTGATTTAATATTATTCATTCAATTCCAATTTAATTCCAATCTATTTCTCACTTAATTCTATTTCATTTTGTTTTGCATTAAGAATTGGAATTTTGTCTATTCAAATTTCCAATTGATTTGTTAATGATTTCTAATGTTAACGTCTTTATATAACTTAAATTCAATTGATCTATATATCTACTTGTCTAACTTGATTCCAATTCAATGCAAATGGAATTCTAATTGAGTTTTGCTTCCATTCTAGAGCGTGCATTCTAGAGAATGAATATTATTGGTGGTATGAATATATTTCATTAAAGAAAGAATATACTTTCATATTGGAAAAATTTCATAAAACTCTTTTTTGTTCAAAGCAAGATCAATTCCCTAGAAATAAATGCGAATTTCATAAAATCCAAATTTTAATTCAACACGAATGAAATATTAGAATTGAATCTGAACTATATAATAATGAAATTAAGGGTAAAATCGAATTATAATTTGGCTTGCATTGAATCCCAATGAAGGAAATTCGAAGCAAAATAGACTTGAAATATAATTGAAATAGAATTGAACCTGAATTTACATATAGATTTGAATTTGAATTGAATAAGAATTAAAATAGAATTTAGTTATTTAGGATTTATAACTATTTGCCTTCTAATTCTGATGTATTTACCCAACTGCATTTAATAAGAGCAATACAATTCCCACTCTAAAGGAAATACATATGATTTTGCATGGGGACTATTTGGTAAACACCTAGCTTATGGATTTAAGCATTTTTACAATTCATAATTGAATGAATAAATATGTTTACCAATTGCATATAGAGCAGGAAATTTACAAATTTCACAACCCTATTAAAAAGATATCATTCACCATAAAGAACAAAACCTTACAAAAGAACAACTTTCACAAGCCTATCAATGCAAGAGAGATTGCTTGTTTGTATTGTAATTTTCAGCATTTCAGCAGCGGATAGAAGGCTTTGAAGTAGAGAGTGCAAAAAACGCGCGTTTCTACAATATGCATACTCTCCCCCCCCCCTCACCCCCCTTCTGTATATTAAATACATAACAACAATATGTTTGGAATACAAAAAAGATACAGATAGCGTGCAAGACATTGGCAAAAGACATACCCACCAGAGATAGAACATGTGTAGGTCCAGTCAGAATACGTAGTTGGAATTTTGATTCTTCAAACATGAGTGCATATCCCAAAGGCAGAAATT